GCCGTCCACAACATTTGTTTCTTATACTTTTTTTGTTTGTTTCTTCAGTAATAATTGTAAAAAAAAGTAAGAAATGTAGACATCAGAAAATATTTGAGAAAAAAAAAAAAGGTTTCACGGGGGATCGAACCCGGTCCTACCACGTGTGAAGGGGGCGTCTTTGCCACTGAGCTACTGGGGCATATCGAAACAGGGGTATCTCTTTCCTTAGTAATAATTCAGCCGATAAACTGTAAGTTGGATAGTTTGCTACCGATTTTCCTCTAGCAAAAGCACTCCCGGGTCGAAGTCGGGATGCACCACGCATTGGCGACATTCTCACCTAGTAAAGAAATCGTACGCGTGCATATTCAACTCGAAGTAGACACGTCGCGCTTGACGTTTGCGCGAGCGATGTCTTCAGCCACAAGAAGGGAGCGACGGCTCGGCGACGTCTTCGTGCAAATCGGCTTGGTGGTCGGGCGTGTCGTACGGGATGAATACCAATTCTTTTGACCAGTCCCAAATTTCTCTTTTAAAGGCAGACAAAATTCGCCGGTACCGCGAACGACAGTTCTGAAATACAGGTCCCACGCCCGTCGTCCGCTGCCATCGCCGTCCCTGCGAGTCCCTTGATACGCGAAACGACGCACGCAAAGAATGCTTCCGGTTGTCTGTGGAACTTTTTTTTTCAATCAACGTATTTGCAGCTTTTTCGAAGCCACAAAAAATGGGTTTCATATTTTTTTCTATTCTTAATATTGAGTGTGTGCTTTCAGTGACCCACGACTTTGATTAAATTTGGTGGTCGCATCGATACCTTAGAAAACGGCCCGTGACCGCGGAAAAGAGAGTGAGCGAGGTTCGAACCGGCCAGTTCTTGATCGGCGGTTTTCGGGCGGAAAGAAACCGAATTTCGAGCCGCAAATTCTGTTCTGGCTAGTTGAGCTCTCATATGTCACATACAACTAAAAACCTCGGCGAGCGTAAATACCCTGTCAGTGTCCCTTTAAGAAGTTCGACCTCCAGCCAGTGTCCCCCCTTAAGTGACGGTCACTTCCATTCCCAAGGCTGACATGCTTTTCATAAAATACTAGGTGTCAGCTAGCTATAAAACATACTCGTTTTTAAAAATATTGGCTGCATGTTCGGCAGTTCCGCTAAACGCTTTTAAACGTGCTAGCTTTATAGGGTGCGCGGTGCTCTTAGTTCAGGTGGTGCCTAGGGCAGGTGTTTTTTTTGTATGAAAACTGATTGGGTCAGACCATTGTCTCCTTGTGATGCTGCGCACGCTTCCCTTTGTCACCACCGGGATAGAAAGTCTGCGCTGAATTTTCTGGGTCACCGAGAGAGGCCAAGCGCGTTTTCCTGCCCTTTCCACTCCTCCTCGTTTTGCACACTTTTTTTATACCACCTGTTCCTGCTCCTTTCTTGCTTGTCCTTTCCGCCCCCTTCTGTTCCGCACACTTTCTCACGCCACCTCCTTTTGCTCCTCCCTCTCCTACGTGCTGGCTCCGTAGCTCAGTCAGCAGTGCACCTGAGCTTCCACGCCGGTGACCGGGGGTGCAATCCCTGGCACCAGTTGCCTTTTTTTTTTTCAAGGTCTTTTAGCGTTTACGGTCTGACCGACCTACCCAATTCATACTTATGAGGTTACTGAGGTTGGTTGGCCCGATAAACCTACCACTTTAAAAGATGGGTTCCGGCCAGGTTTGGGTCGGGCTTGCGTTAAATATAACGGTCGGGCCGCGTTGGGGCCAGAACTTAACCAGGCCGGATTAGGTCGGGCCTTAAAATTCCGGTCCGATCTGATCTCTAGAGCAAGTACCCTTGCTTTGGGGACCTCTGGGTGTACGGGGAGGGGGGCAGGCCTTTTGGGCCCCGGCCCCCACGAGAAATTGAAAAATTTCCGCTTCTTGTCGAGCCAGTCTGTTCTGCTTGTCGTGTAGCTATTCTGTATTTCTTTAAGGAGGCCTGGTAGGAACGATTGAGGAGGCCGAAAACTTTTCTGCTTATAAAAATAGCCTTTTTATTCTTTGTTAGGTGCCATTAATTATGCTGCTCACTACTCAGTTTGCAATGTTTTAAGGGTAAAATGGAAGCTATATGCATGGAGAAGGTTCACATTTTTTTTATATCATATGTGTCATCACTTTCGCCCTACACATTTTTGCTTAAAGAATGTAAACTTGTTCAATTTTTTTTTTTTTTTACGACGCAAGCTTTTAGGAAATGGACTGCGGTGCAAAGTTTTGTGTGTATTTAACCAGGTATTTAATTATTGAGGACACAGCACAAACGTGCTCATCTGCTTCAGTTATTGCACAGTATCTGGGCTTTTTGATTAGTAATTACGTAACTTGTCTTTTCCTTTTAAGCTTCATGATAGCACCATTCTTAAGTATGAGTAGAGTTTTGTGTTTTCGGAGTTTATTTTTTCTGTAATTCGGACAGCGTTTTTCAGAGTTCATTTTTTTGCCGAAAAATTCGGAGTTGATCTGATTTTTTTTGTCGGATTCTTAATTCTTCGGAATTCAGAGTTTAATTTCACTCTTTTCCCAACTTTTAAAAATTTTGCGCTGAATTCGTAGGAACTCCAGTATCAAATTATATCTCTTCAGCTGGATTTGGCATTAGCACCATTGGTAATACTGACTGTCCTACAACACAGCTTCCAAACAAATATGTGCTTCCAGGAATGCCGATACTTTGAAATCTATAAACTCATAAACATAGTCGCTGAGAAACTCTGTTGTTTTTTTTCGGTACCACTTCATTATTTTACGAATTCGGCAAAGTGGCGAAAGGAGTAATATAGAAGTTTCAGCTGCCCTTCCCCTCCACTTTCATAAAATCTAAGGATTCGCAGCTTTCGCCCTTATAAGAACACAAGCCTCTTTCCCTTAAGGAGCAAAATTAGTATGGTTTAAATTGGAAACTGGAACAGTGACTTTTGTTGTGACTTACAAGTCGAATACCTTGTTGTCCTGACCGAACCCTGATGGGATGAGCTGTATTCCCCCTTTTGTCAATGATCTGAGATTTGAAATAAAACATGAAACTGATGAACTTCTGCTCTGGAACAAACTTATTTGAGGGATACCTTTTCTTTTTCTTTTTTTCTTTCAATAGGCCATATGCCAAATGTAGAGCGCCATCTACTAGCGCGCTGAGAGCTACGTCTGCCACCTTGGTAGCGGCGAGAAAACAAAACCAGTGACTCAACCGGCAAAGACTCCATGCAAACAAATGACCGCGCTTCGTGCGAGAGGTGCGATGCCAACGCGTCGCTGCGTTCCGCTGCGGATGCAACGATAAACCTTCGATTCGTGTGTGACGTGAACGCAAACGTGAACAGGGTTCGCAATATTCTTTTTATTTTTATTTGTTACTTCAGACGCAGCTTTTGACAAAAACAATCGGTCACAACGTGAAGAAACGTGCGGCCGTTATCGTGCGCCGTGAAGCCAGTTACAACTATTGAACTGGGCCCTAATCTTTTCACAAAGTTGAACTGAATTTGTTTCTTAACTTTTTTCTTCTTCATTTATGCGCGTTGTAGTGTCAGCCTCCGTTTTTCTTGATGCGCAACCCGCTTTATGTATGCAGACAACACCAGGGCTGTTAAGCAAGGAAAAAAAAGATATATGTTGTTGCTGCACCAGAAAACTTTAAATGCATTCCTAAGCGAGGCAAAAAGATGACAGTTTTAATAATCTGCGCCTCCAACCGTAATTGAAGATCCGTATGGTTAACAGTGAACAACAAAAGCTGAAAGCACCAGAAAGCCCTTATTTTAATGTTGTATATTAAAAAAAATTATATATTTACTTTCGAAAGCCAGCAAACCATTTCATTGCTTTGCAACGACTTCTATACACTTGATTTGGAATCTGTAAACAAGGTATGTAAAACGCCTCTAAGACTAAACAAGAGAGTTTGTTGATAAAATATTCTTCAATATTTAAAACACTGTTATGTAGAATAAAAAACACAGCAGACACGGACGACGTGTCTGTTTGCTCAACACTCGCAGAGATGGGATTTCGCTGTCTTTTCTTGTCGAACGCCACGTCCGATTACATAGAATGTGGCGTTCAACTTAAGTTCATTGTAGTGGCTAAAACTTCTATGTTGGCAACGGCGAAAACTTATGTTGCGGACGTTGAGTGCAGCAACACGGGCGGTGCCAACTTCATTTCACACACTCCTTTTCTTTTATTTTTTTCTTTTTTTATGTCGCAGGCAAGGTAAAAATTTTGCTTGGTGCGAAGAAGCTTGGGGGGGTAGTTTTGAGAAAGTCAAAGCAGTTATTGTGCCAGGGTTGAACAAATCTTCATTAATAGCGCAACATCTGGCAACTGTGCTTGAGGTCAATGCTATCTGACACCAATTTAAGCTCTTTGGAATGCCTAAAAAATATTGCCCAGGGCACAGTTTCCTTTCGAAGATCACAGAGCTTTCCACGAATTAACTTTTGCCGGTAACAACTAAAAAAAGAAAAAAGAAAACTACCCTTGAGTTGCATGCATTGGCGTGGAGCAGTCTACCGCTAAACAGTAAAACTTCATGCGTATTCACATCAAAAAAAGAATTAAAAGCGTCCTCAGAGATGAAAGGCATGATGGCCTAGTCCTTTGTCCAGGTTGGGTGATCGGACCTCAGAAAACAACAAAGTTTCCGAATCACACTTAGTGGCAGAGCGTCCAGTCCTGGAAATGCTGAGACACCGAAACTCAAGACACTGGATGCTACCGAGATAGCCACATGCACAGTGCTGCCAGACCACCAAGCAGTTTCGCATATCGTCTATTGCGCTTTTCAAATTTGGAGTTCATCAATTATATATTTGAATTGACGAAAACTTTACTAGCAAGTGTTTTTTGGATTTCTTCGGATTTATCCGAAATATACTGAAGCCTAACTACAAGGTACCCAGCACAGACAAATGCTATGAGCAAAAATAATAGCAGAAATTTAGCATGTCTCCTAATTTTGGGCTCTTTTTCTCTCCATCTCAGGTGTCAAATTCATTCTTGATGAACCTGTTTAAGGGGGAAGCCAATATGGAGCAGATGTTTCCCTACCCTGACGGTAAGTCCGAATGATCAGTGGAAACTTGAGACGTAATTAACCCACTCGCACATAAAGTCATAATAATGTCTTTCCTTTCACTACCAAGCTGTGTATCAGCCTCTGTCCCGACTCTACCTTCTGGTTTGGTCACAGGTTCAGCTCTGGTGTCTCATGCTACAAGTCAGCGTTGACACTTTAATTCCCTAGATGCAGATTTGTAATTTTAGAGCGCAGCTCTTAGGCGCCCGTTTCCGGCTTGAGCGGCGTCGCCGTCGGCGTAACCGCGCAGTGCATTATGGGACGCGTGACGTCACTGATGACGTCATCAGTGACATCATCAGTGACGTCATCGGCATCGGCATCGTCACTGATGACGTCATCAGTGACGTCACTGATGATGATGCCGATGACGTCACTGATTATGTCATCAATGACGTCATCGGCATAGTCATCGTCACTGATGACGTCATCGGCATCCGCATCATCATCGTCACTGATGACGTCATCGTCATCGTCACGTGACCTCATAGGGGTCACGTGACCCCCGTGAGGTCACGTGACCCCAGAGACATCACATGACCCTCGTAGGGCTAAGGCGACGCCGCTCGGAGGAAGGAGTAGCAGACAGAATGAGGAGGAGAGGAGGAGGGGTATACTTTCCCCTCAGTACCCTTCCCTCCTCCTCCTCAAGAGCTGCACTCTAATTCAGCATTACAGGGAGTTGTAAACAGCTTTCATTTTTTAATTTAATTAATGCAATAATGTAATTTCATTGATAGAACTAAATAATTTAATTATTATTTAAACTCTAGAGGGGCAGAAGCACTGTCAGGCGCCTTGCCTTTATCTCTGCCTTCTGTAAAAAAAAAAATAAAAAAAAATTGGAAAACAAATAAATAAAAAAGAATTTACGCCTGACACAGTACAGAAAGCGAGGAACATTCACTTTAAAATAAACACCAGGAAGATGTTAGACCCCAAGTAGAGACTGGCAGGACAGCCAGTCTCTACTTGGGGTCACTTTAGCCACCATGGCGTTATCTGTTCCGCTTAATAACCAAACGGGCATCGTCCGAGAGGGGATGTTAGAATTTCATATTGGAGTGTCTTTGTTTATGTGGCCCTTAAAGAAAATACTAAAAATGCACTCAGTAAAGTGAAGAGGTCATAGAACTGAAATGTCAGGTACAACCTTTAACTGTGGATTTCATGCCTAAACCCCAGTCTGCTGACTTGCTGTCAGCACCATTTTTTTCAGAGGCAAGCGTAGGCTTACGACATAATTTGTTAGTTTGTTTCTATTTAAATTACTGCAACCTTATTTAGAACACCACAAGCAAAACAAAACTTAAAAAAGTTGCACCTCTTACAAAAAAGGGCGGTACATGCAATTTCTTGTGCTCCATTTTTTCCCTCACACTGCATCATTATTTAAAGCCCTAAATGTAAGAAAAATTCAACAAATATATGTGTTCATACTTTTAACAACATATCCTAGGGCTCTTCAGCGTAACAATGTTCATTTGATTCAATTAGCTAACCCAAAACATTGTATAATCCTGCATGACCTAAAACATAACCAAAAATTAGCTCTGGACAATTCATCCATCGCATACTCACTACATCGATCAGACGCTTAATTTCAATTTGTCCACTGTGCTACATAGTTTGTCCAGAAAGTGTTTAAATTTAGAAACACTGTCCCATAAAAGATTATTAAATTAGATTTTTTTCTCTGGTACTTCTGAATACTGCTGTTGTTTTTGTTGCATGCTTTTGTGTGTTACATGATATCATATATCTTTGTGTTTTTTAATGTCTGATGTTTTTTGGTATTTTTATGCGTAAATAATTCATAACATCTAACATTTGTATAAAAATTTGTTTGTATTTATGCAACCTTTATTTTTTTTGTTCTCTTCCTGCACTGGGTAGTTTTTTGTTTTTTTTTCTTGCTGTCACAAACTGCTCAGGGGCTGGGCCCTTCGTCAAGTTGCAACTCGGCAGCTTTTTGTCCGAGTCCCCTGTTGTCATGGGGGATGATGTGACAACATATAAAAATTTGATTTGATTTTCCATATTTAGCTTATTTTCTGAGGTTTATACTTAAAAGCAGCTTTTGAAATTTTTTCCTTGTCGGCCTGTTTCTGTATCGACACCATTTTTTTGCTCATCTGTTATGCCGACTTCTTCGGGTCTTTTTTTCGGCTCTCGGTGTTTATTTACGGGTGTCTGTGGAGTAACACTGCTAGCAGCTGCGGTTGAAACATCTGTCAAACATGTGGGGGACATTTGGTGGACATTTGAAGGGTCTCGTCAACATTGACCTGTAGGGAGCTTCGAAGTTCAGTAATTAGACTCTAGAACCAGTGGTGAGCATTGACATGCCCTTTCACCCCCTCCCCTGGGCAATTTGAGCAGACAACACATTGATAGGGTTCCTTCTAATTTGTGAAGGCACTGACTACTGCAAACTGACGTGGAACTAATATCGATCATCTTTACCGAAGCTTCACCGTCGAAAGGCTAAAAGAGATAAACAGAAATAAATTGAATGAATTGCCTGTCAGGTTTCAAAACCCACAATCTTCCCAAAATGTTTTTTTGTTCAAGATCCTGACGTAGGAAAGGTTAAAGAAAATGGACGTTACAGTGCAAAGTCTAATGCTTTCGTTACATTCAGCCTTAGGGACATTCTCTCGCCATCCCTAGGCATGTCCGTCCGTCGAGCGTGCGAGCGCCTATTTTGGGTACCCGCAGAAAAAACGTCTATATTTTTACAGGCTGGTTTACACATTTAGTACATTTGAGTGTGGCCGAATGCATTGCAATGCTGGTGACTGCTTACGGCGAGAACACAGACACACACTGGCCCCGTCCCTTAGCTAGCTCCGGAACAGTTCCGGTTTGCGTATAAATGGACTGAACGTTTTGCAGTATTTGTGAGATGAAATCTATGGCACTATCTATGACATTTGGTAGCTTATAACGTTGGCAAAACTATTTCGAGCCTGCGGTAAAGAAAGTTTGCATAGAAACTTGGGAAATATTTGCGACTCCAGCAAAACGGACGCCGCCAAGCGGGAAAACCGGGAACCAGTCGGTCCAGGTCGCTCTGCACCCTGCCGCATCTCTGGTGGCTTTCGCGGACACGTGCTGTCGCCGCGGGGGCGAGCAATGTAATTTGACGAAGGTCCGAAAATTTCTAAAGTTTGCCTGAGTGTTCATTAGTCTGGTGAAGCCTCAGTAGATTGTTTCTTTCCATCACGTGTTTGAAAGCCCGTTTACTCCACAACACATGGTCGCATGCTTTCAATTTTTTGGATGGGGAGGAATCACGGAAAAACGTTTTGATTTCTTGTCTGTATCGAATCACATTCAAAATGACGACTACTTGGTAACTGATAAGTGGTTTCTTTATAAGGATGTAGAACAGTGGACTGAGGTCGACAGACCAGGTGCTTCGCTGGAGGGAACACCAATGTTGCAGTCAAGAGAATGGGAAAGTTCGATAGCTGCTTTTCTGGAGTTTGGTTGTGCTCGATTAGCTTCAAGTTTGAGCCACTAACGCCGGCCGGTGCGTTGGCTATTCATCTTGACTGCTTTTCGCCGAAAGAGACCACCCTGAAGGAGTTGGGCTGATTTCGCAATTACTTGATTCAGAAAACCTGCTCGCTGCATATGATTAATGAGGGAGATTATCTGCTTTTAGAAGGTGGGGGACGCGTCTCGCAAAATTCCTAATGCCGTCTGTCACGGCATTAGGATCTATCGCGCCTCCAATAGTTATATTATAACCACTGTCGAAGCCAGCAGCAATATACGTCTACATTGCTCAGGTTAACCGGCCACAAAAAATACTAATTTTATCCGTTCAGGATCCGAAGTCAAGTTCATTGCAGGGAGGTCTGAGTGAATCTCCGATGAAGAATCTCCTCAGTTTGCCCCATTCGTCTCCGTTCTACCGGCTACAACCATTTGGCTAAGTTTAAGTAGTATCTCTCTGTCTGTCATATATACTTTTATTCAGCAGTTTACCTAATAGTTAATCATCTAAGTTCATATTTCAACCAAAAGAATATACTAATATCGCTTTAGTGGGACCCCCCCCCCATAGTACGCAATATAATACATAATCCGCATATTCGTTAAATGACTTCTCGATTGCTACTAAAACCTGAATTTAAATACGAGTATCATCTGCTTAGTGAAGCGCCAGCGGGTTAACATGCTCCTTGGCTCAAGAAGCGCTTGCTTAATTTTCGTAATTTTCCTGCAGCCTGTGTTCTTGACCGAGCACGCGACTGGAGCTGTTTCTTGAAACGCAGACACGAACAAAAGCTTAATTTCGCGGACAGATAAGTCGCATGGTCGAGGCATGCGAGTTAGCTAAAAATTACTCTCGGTGGAACAATTTTGTAGCCATCGCCGCTTTCCTTAGATGATCAAAACTAATTAGAGTCTATTACCGTTTCTCCGGAGCCCATAGTTTCGGTTTTGAACGAAGTCTCCGAAACGAAAGTTTGACATGAAAAGAACAAAAAACACCGGCAAAACAAAACTATGCTCGGCAAGTTTATGCGCACCGACGAGACTTAACCGTCTCAGTTCAAATACCCATAAAATTGGGCATTAAACAAAAGAAAATCTGTTAAATTGAATGCGCCACCCATTTAGGCGGCCCGGCCGAGCCGACGCGACCTGGACCCAGCCGCCATGTTTGTTTGGTGGTGGCGCCCCCTATAGGTCGCCGGAGTTGCGAATAAGGAGACGGGAAGCGCTCCACCCACTGATGGCGTCGGTGTGTTCACTCGTAAGCAGTCATGAGCGGTTCCACTGTGGTTTGTCACACTCGGACGCAAACGTACGGCCTCCATCAAACGTCCTCCAGCCGTTGCAAGCGCTGAAGTTTTGCGAGCCCCCTGAAGAGGTACAGAGATCACTGTCAAAGAAACAAAGATTGTAGCAGTGCCATTGTTTGTATTCTTACTGCCAAGTCTGCCTTTGTTCTTTCGAAGGTGATGTGCCCGAGGCAATTCCAATGTTTGTTTTTTATTTTTATTTATGTACCCTAAAGGCTCTCACAGGCATTGCATAGGGAGAAACAGCAGCACAGTAAATTTGGAAAACAAAATCCAAGCAGCAGCACACACAAAAAAGAAAAAGATGCAGTGCATGCAAAATGCAAAAAAACATTTAAATGCATTCTGGAAATTTCAGCAGTAATTGAAATATTTACATAAAAAAGGTACCATAAGAATGGATGCACAAAACAGAAAACGAAAATTTATATTCAACTTAACCTACTCAAGCAGCGTCATGTTTACGGTGGCAACAACACGGATGGAGGCAATTTCCCCTTGGAAGGCTATTCCAATCCGAAATGGCAAGGAAAAGAGGCGAATTTTTGAACATGTTAGTTTGTGCATATATGGGGTTAATTTTAAAAAGGTGATGTAAATGGGGCAATACATGGCGAGCCGCGTTCGACCTTTGTCCGACGGGATGGGACGCTTACCCGTCCAAATGTACCCGCCGTTTCCTGTGAGCTGCAAAGCCGAAAGATGTATTTCACTTAGAATTACTCAATGTTGAAACGTGGCGTCTTACGAGAGCTCTATGTTTCCTGTCGCATGTAGATGATTGCAATCGGGGGAAGGAAATGTAAGACACAGCTAGATGAAGTCAAAGTTCCTGTTTTAGTGACCACTGTTTCTATCGCGAATGAATGCCAACCAGCCAAACCTTCCATTCTCTTAGCTGTTAGTCTCAATAGAGTTTATTTTTTGTAATGTTTTTAAAACATAATGATATCAGAACTATCTACAGTAAATATACCGTAGAATATAGCGCATCCGCCCTTTCCACATTAAGCGCCCACTCCCAAATTTGTAAGATCTGAGAAAATACGCACAGTACATTGATATGTGAAATTGATGACCAAACAAGCGCCCATTCCCCATTTTTTTGCAATTATCTCTAAATTTTGAGTGGGCGCTTGCCCAATATTTTACAATATGTCCATGGATTTTTTTTTTACTTTGTGTTTTTGGGCATATAGTGTTAGTGTTTGATTTGTGTGCATGTTTTGTTTTTTCTGTGTTGTGATGCAGTGCCGGGAAGGCGTGTTTGCTTTTGGTGGGCACCAATGCATAAACATGAATGTGTAACCAACACTTGAGTTACCTTCTAAGTGTAAAGAGGTTAAAAGTGAGGGAGGCCAGGATTATGTTCCGAACGTTTGGAGGTTGTCTATTTCTCCTGAGTGAGTGTAGGTACAGAGTCTCTTGTCTGCCTTGTATGTGGTGCAGTGCTGACGGAGGACCAGACTGAGACCCTCCGCATGGTGCTTGAACCAGTCACCAAGTTCCTCACGGTGAGCAAGAATGCTTCACATGTGGCTGCATCTCAACAGACATCTGTTGGGCGTCAGCCATTAGGTTGGCAATAAAGCTTTGGTTTGGTCTAGTTGCTTCGTATCATTTAAAAGGTTAAAAGCGCAAACTGAAACACAGACGGCAAGGACAGGCGGCTGTCCTTGTCCTACGTGTTTCTTGTTTCGTTCGTGTTAGGTTTGTTTTACAACTTCAGTACTATAAGCGAGATGTGACTACCTCGCTTATCTCTTTTGTACCCAAGGATTGCTAGTTGCCTTTACATTTGCACTTGCATATTTAAATTTTCATAATAGAGCTCCACATCACTTGTTCATGCTAAAAGCTTTATCATTGCTGTTAAACCTCCATTTTTCTTGGCTCTTAAAAATAGTTTTTTTGGGCACTAACATATATGCAAATGAAACATTTTTCCACGTAAAATAATGTCCGTGGCCTCCTTATAAATTAAAAAAATTCCAGGGTTGCAAAAATGTCTGCTATGTTTGGTTTAGCTGAAAAGGAAACTGCAGAAGTAAAGGATTTTTATCTTATAGAGAATGTTTTAACAACATGTTTCTTGTCCTGAGGGAAGGAACAAGAAAATACATTCACTAAAGCGTACCAACACAATAGGAAACAAGGCTACGCAGTACTTGAGGCATTTTAAAATAAAACTTCCTAATTCTTCTTAACAATAGAATAAACAGTAGCAGGTGTTACGTTGAGTTAAAACAACCCTGGGTGAAGGTTTAGTGCCTGGAAAGAGCATTGAAAACAAGAATGGTAAATATCTTCATTCAGGTCCAAACAGATCTTCATGTCGAATAATGAGAGAAGGGGGTGAACATATTGGTTTAACATTTTCAGTTTTTTTTAAATGCGAATAGAAGCATTGTTAGCATCTTTTCGAGTTTTGTGGTTGTCCACTGCTTCGGCTCACATTTTAGAAGCCAACCAGGACGTTGTGTTGTGACACCCAATGCGTGAAACTCTGTCGAGGCTTCCCAATGACCGACTGGGCGGTTTTGCACTTGTGTGGCGGCGCAGGAAGTGAACGACGCAGACAAGAACGACCTGAACGAGAGGATCTCGGACGAGTCTATGGCTGGCCTGAAGGAGCTGGGAGGCTTTGGGATGCAGGTGAGTTGGCATGCACTGGGCGACAACGAGTTACAGGGGGAAGGCGTACATATTTTAAGATTGCCTTCTCAACACATACAACATTCACCCTCTTGCACTTTTGTACATCCCTTTAAAAGATGCTGAAATTACTCTCCGAGCTGCTCGAGTCCTGCCTCATTTATTCCTGCCTCCTTTAGTTCCTGCCTCTTTTATTTTCTCGAATTAACAACTTTAAGCTTCGTCCGGGTTGTAAGGGGTTCCGTTTTTGTCCCGTACTGTTCCAATAAAGAACTATTGGTTGGTGCCACTTTCTGGATTTGTGTGTGTGGCACCTGTTTTCCAAAGCAACAAACACATGCGCTCTGAACTGAAGACCGCGTACTTGGCAGTGAATTTGTAAGCATTGGGACTGCGTCCAGGTGGCAAAGTTTGGTTCGCCGTCGTGTGGCGAGACCGCGGCCGAGGCGTTGCCACGAGGCCTCTGGCACGCAGGTACCGCCCGAGCTGGGTGGCATCGGAGCCACCAACACCCAGGCAGCGCGGCTGAGCGAGACCATTGGCAACTACGACCTGAGCCTAGGCATCACGCTGGGGGCACATCAGGTGAGGGGACCCATTCTTTCTAGCTGGCGTGACGCTAGAACGACATATATTGGCGAAATGTTGTCTGCATTCGGGTACACAATTTCATTCTTCGCTTTACTCCGCAGTCTATCTTTTCTTTTCGTCCTTATTTTTCTCTTGCTGGTGCGATTCAGAGATCATTCGGTGTTGATCTTGCTTCTAATATAAGCCAGTGGGGTAAATTCGTAAAGAAAATTCTCGGCGGCCTTAGAGAGGCAGCCAACATTTCTCGAGAGGCGACGTGACGTCAGTTGCCACCGAGCCACTTGTAGTAGGTTGGTTTTCAGAACTTTTATAACTTACCAGTGTGAGTGTGCTTATGTGAACATGGAAGCTCGGCAACCTTGTTTCCGTTAACTGCTTCTTCTTTCCCGCGTGTCGTTTCAGTCCATAGGCTTCAAAGGGATTATCCTATTTGGGACGGACGAGCAGAAGAAGAAGTACCTCCCTGTCTTGGCGGCGGGCGAGAAACTTGCGGCCTACTGCCTGACGGAGCCTGGGAGCGGCTCCGACGCCATGGTGCGTCAATGCTCGTCGACTCTGCACGCTCATAACAGGATGAAGCATCTAATCCCTAGCACTGTCGTGGGCCCCCGCATTTTAGTCACCCACCAGAAGAATCGGTTGCGGAGGCAGAACCATTATTACCGACTTGCACTCTGGCAAAGAGTGCCACCGAGGAGTCCCAAAAGGACCCGCAAATTGAGATGAGCGCAGTGTTGCGACGTTGGGTGCGGTTGCAGTTACAGACACATACGTTTTTTTATTGCATCTTTTTTATGATGGAGAGAGTCGGGCAGGAAGAGAGTAGCACGTGGGGTCCTTGAAGTCTCTCGAGTGCTGATGTGACACTCGAGGTAGAGTCTGCCCGCTCTAGGTTTGGTCAGTGCCGTATAGTGGCACAAACAGAAAATCTCTTTTACCTACTGCAAGGGTCTCAAATGCGCGGTTCGCAACTCTCTGGGACGCGACCCGCAAGCGTTCCGTGGCTGCAAGCCCCCCCGTTTCCATAACTCGAGCACTACGTGCACCATAAGAAATACTTTCGTATCGTCAATTCCTTTCCACTCAAAAAGCAGCTCTTTTCATATAATGTGATTCCTGAATTTTGACTAATTTGTACGGTTGTATGACTGCCAAAAAAATCTCCCGAAAAACGCACCCCCCCCCCCCCCCCTCCGCACTCTCCGCACTTACACAAGGAGGTTTTGCCGTCGCAACAAACGCCTGCAATGATAGTGAGGTCCAGCTGTTTCTCGCTAGCATGAGCAGTGCAATATAAATGTAATGAAGTTGTCTTCATGTACATTTGTTGTCAGTATTTCTCTTCAGTGTGATTCGTGCCGAGTGCCTCATTACAAAATTCCTTGTCAAATATAAAAAAAAATAAAAAATTGCCCCCCCCTCCTCCTGCGGTGATCTCCCAAATTTTTACGTTGCTAGGTTGGCAGGTATGGTATTTTCTTATAATACTGCTAGAAATCGTCAGAAAATCACGAACTGCAGTATAAAGAGATATTTGTTTCCGTGACTGGTGAGCTTAGTGAGTAGTGCGACAGGGCAACGGCAGTCTGATTGCTCTCGTTCTATTGAAAACTGCCAGCACATTAATGTCTTAAATCTTGTTATCAGATCGGGTGTGTGCCCAAAGTATATGTATGCAAATCAAAGCTAACGATGTCACTGACAAAACGGTAAGCTTAGAAAAAGCAGAGAACACGAGGTGCCTTCTCTAGAAAATTTCCGGGGTATCGCTGGTAGAGTCAGTTTCTTTTCAACGTGATACACCATTGCTGTTCTTTCTTTTATCCTAAATTACTAATATATTAGCCTTTCGGGGTTTGGCTGTCTGGCCTCCTCACTCCAATGAGTTTGAGACTCTAGTGGCATTACTTCCTCTTTCGCTTTTAGGCAGTGCAGTAGTGCCTGGGTCAATTGTGCAAAGCTGCCACACTGCTCCTTTCCTTGTGCAGTCCATCAAGTCACGTGCTGTGTTGTCACCGGACGGGAAGCACTACATTCTCAACGGGGGCAAGATATGGATCAGTAACGGAGGCATTGCAGACATCTTTACAGTGTTTGCACAGGTGGGTTGAGGCTCTACCTCTGCTGAAGCTCCCAGTCTTTGCATATGTCTACCACTGGCCTGGCACACACCTTCTCATTTATTTGCGTACCTAGCAAACATATAATATGCGTATAAATGGTTTCACATAAAGCTTTTGAAATACACAAAGGGTATTATGTATCTATAAAATAAATGTGATTTCAGGTCCTTATTTTAGTCTTAAAGGGACACTGACAGGGTACTTTTGCATGTCAATGTTTTTGCTTGAACATGGCGTATGAGAGCCCAACTGCCCAGAACACAATTTGCAGCTCGAAAATCGTATTCGGTCTGCCTAAAGACTGCCGGTTGAGGATTGGCCGGTTTCAAGCACGCTCACTCTTTTTTTTACAGTCACGTGCCTTTCAAGCTTATGCGTACCAAATGTATTCAAAGTCATGGGTCGTCAAGGCACACAGGCACGCATTCATTATTAAAAATAGAAAAGCATATGAGCCCCATTTTCTTACGGCTTCCAAAAAGCTGCAAATATGCCGATAGAAAAAAATAGTTGCACAGATCGGAGGATGTAGATGTTCATGTAATTCTCAACATGGCGACGTACTGGGGGCTGGACGACACAATGACAGTGCACGACGGACCAACGTTGCGACGGACGTGAAATCGCTACTTTGGAACTGTGGTTCGTGGTACTGGCCAATCAATCTTCAAGCACAGAATAGCGAGGTGAAGGGATAAAAGTGTGAAACAATCGCACGACAGACGGTTCGAGCAATGTCCTTGTCGTCGTCGTCTGCTTTACACGCCCGAGAAGCGAAAAAATGGAAAAAAACTGGGTAGGGAGCAATAGCCATGTGACTTCCGGTAACTCTCTCTCCTCCGTGCACATGCTTCGGTTTCGATATTGAACAGTTGAGTTTTTTTACTTTATTCAAAATATACATGACTCTGTAGCAAAATATTGATTGGGTAGTGTTCTGACATTATACTGAACTGTCTGGCAAGAAATAAACAAAACATTTTGAAGGGTGGCAGTGTCCCTTTAATGTTAGTTCCCAATAGAAGCTTTCCGAAAGTCAGTCTATCCACCCTGTGCGGAGCCAAACCCGACGCTCTGACGGCGGCACTACGCGGCCTCTCCACACCGGAAAAGGGGAACATCTTCGAAAGCATGCAGCAGAAAGGGCAAAAGCTGTCGGTCCTTTTACGTCTTTTTGAATTCATGAAATCGAGGGCGCTTGATTTAGCCAAGCATGATCTATGACCGCCATTAGAGCGACAATATTGGAGCTCTTGGGACTGCCACAAAGACGACTCTGATTTTTGAAAAGGGTCTATTGTATCAGTATAGAAAGGTCATGCTTGTTCGTTTTCATTTATGAATGATAGTTAACCTTAAAGGGTAATAACGTTATATTGTTGCTGTTACTCGAGTTGTAGTGTATCATTTGTTTACAAATATATAGTTAGATTTTTTCAGATGGAACTGCAGTGAAACTATGGCTACTTACTAGTCATGGTTACTTCCTAAAAGTAGCAAGCTAAGTTCCGACTACTTTTAAAATATCTATTGACGACGACATGGACTGCTTTCTGACCGACGGTTCAGTTTCCAAGGTGGAAAAGATATGGGCACGGATTTGTCTCGACTCGGCAATTTGCTCACTGAGAGTATGAGTCAGTGACAACTTGCAGTAGTGATGTTGAGACGGACCAAATAGAAATTGAACTTGCATTTATCTGCCTTACTACTTAATTAAAAAATGTAGCTTCAACTTACAGTTACGCTTGCTGGAACTTCATTATGGCTAGGTACGGTAGTTGCTGAAATGGTACCCGTCATTGTGGCTCGTCGATGACGCGACAAGGCTTCTCTCGCTGCAGACGCCGGTGAAGACGGAGTCGGGGGAGACGAAGGAACGCATCACGGCGTTCATCGTGGAGCGGGGCTTTGGCGGGGTGACCTCTGGGCCCCCCGAGAAGAAGATGGGCATCAAGGCGTCCAACACGGCCACGGTCAATTTCGACGACACCCCCGTGCCCGTGGAGAACGTGCTCGGCCAAGTGGGCGAGGGCTTCAAGGTATGCCCACTCCGCCCAATCCGACTTCACGAACAACACATCTACTTTCTCCACTGTGCCCCCAGGAACCGATCACGAAAGGAACTCTGCAAACGACAAGGCAGAGATGTCATTTGAACTGAAAACGTGGCCTGCACCATCGGTGCCACCTGGTGGAAAATGGGGTTCGAGGATTTTGAGGATGAAACAATGTGTGGATTAGGAAGTTTGTTAGAACAAACTTGGAGGTGGAAAGGTGAGCCACGCTAGGCACAGAAGAGACTGGGGTAGTCCAGTCTAGGTCACTGCAGCGCAAAGGAGCCAGCAGAATGTAGCTTCTTTAGTAGAAAGAGTGCCTGCACTCGCCTTGGCACGTGCTCGCATATTTTCGTACTCGAACCTTTTGAACGCGCAACTTTCTAAAATGGTCTATTCCGTCACAGATTTATTTCCTGAAAAATGATTGGTTCCTCCTCAGTTGCTCGGCTTCTTCCGTAAATCGTGACGATTTGCCTCTTGGGGATGTCGTGGGAAAGCATGCACGTGGGGTTTCTTCGTGAAAAGGTAGACCGATTTTGGAGTTAACGCAATGGTTTCAAGTGGACCGAATGCTTTGTCTTCCTGAAGTGGCCAGTTACGCTTGTTGGCCTATGCCTTACATGTTTCCGCGGCTCCCTTCGTGTTTACTTCGAAGAAGCACACGAGGGGAGGTGAGAAAGCCAGGCAGACTTTTTACCTATTCTGTGTTCCTGTAAAAGAGAAGAAAACATGTGCACCTTGCATTCTTGCTTGTGAACTTTAGTTATCACTTACATTCTTACAAAATATAATGCAGTTTTTTTTTGTTTTTTTTTGTGGCTGTTAGTGACACGTGAAAAAAAAGAAGAAATCGAAAATTTGCATTCTTTATTAGATTACGTAACTGGAGAGAATTCTTTGCACTCTGTACCCCTGCAATCTCTTTGCAGTCTTGTGTGTTTCTTTGAGCACATACTGTTGTGTCTGGTGTGAGAACTGTCACTGGTAGCCATAGCTTTAATTATAGTCTCCAGTGAATAGTACTATTTGTAAATAAATATGTGAATAGACAGGACTCGGCACTAGCGTGCCAAGTTTCGCTGCCCACTTTGTCCTCTGTAAAATACAAAACTAAGTACACTGGGAATGTTGTTAACTAGCTTTGCCTCGTAATTCAGCCCAATGTGTCTACAAATCGTAACTTACGGGAAAACACTGAACATTGGAGCCGAGAAGATTGATCAGTGCCCATCCGGGATGGTACAGGGACCCGACACTTGCTACGCGGGCTGTTCACGTTGACATTCAAGTGGCACCATATAGTAACAGTAATGCACAGCACAGCCCACGAGTGCCATATGTTGTAACGATGCCGTACTCCAACGGCGACAGGTGGCGATGCACATCCTGAACAACGGGCGCTTCGGCATGTCGGCCATCCTGTGTGGCACGATGCGTTCGTCCATCTCGAAGGCGGTGGAGCACGCCACGACCAGGGCCCAGTTTGGCAGCAAGCTGGCCACCTTCGGGAACATCCAGGAGAAGCTGGCTCGCATGACCATGGCCCTCTACATCGCCGAGGTGGGCCTTCCCAGTCTCCTCTGGCTTTCCTCTTGTTGTGCCCAATAGACTACTTCCATAAAGCCCTGCATGCAACACGGCGTGCGTTGCACTCTGGGAACTTGTTGGCCAGGGAGGAGAGTGGCATGGTTTCGGTTTCGATCGACACGTCGACAAGAGATTATACAGAGAGCGTGTACTATTAACGGCCGTTATCTCATGTTTTCTGGTCCTGAGAGCGTCATTTGTGGCCTCTAAACTAACCTAAATGGCCAGACCTCGAAGCTTTAGCACAAGCCCTAGACATATAGCTTGTCTTAACACATGCTTGTTGTATTTTTGTACATGAGCCTCTCTGTTAGCGTTTCGAGGTATGGTGGACGAGCCAGTGCTAGGAATCTCGACGCTGCGAAGCTCGGGGATCATGCTTGTGTACGAATCAACAAGCTGTAGCAACCGATAAGTATGCATATATCGAGCTCGAGCCTTTACTTTAGTGTTTTGATCAGGAAGTTTATTTGTTTCGTGCATCCATAGACGAAATATAACTTTTTGCAATTACTGTTTTTCTTAATACGCCTGAGTATGCGAGGTAAAACTCGGAGGCGCCATTGTAAAGCTCAATTTTAACACACTTCTTATCTCTTATCTGTACTGACCCGCAGCACTGCACGAAGTGAAGTCCCCACCCGCTTGCATTCCATTAATATTCACGCGTATGCGCATAAAGTTATCCTGCCAACCATAGAGGCATATTCGCACATACAAACCGTTTTAGGAAAGCAAAAGTCGAGCACTTGTGTGAAGAATGTCGCACCGTTCGCCGGAAGTGCGCCGGACGGGCGTGAACTCCTATGTGGTGCGCCAAACGAACGAAATTATTCAAAGCGCATTTGACCGTTGCTAACGGTCATACTATTTGTTATGTGTTTGCTCTCTTCCTGACTGAGTATGCTGAGATAATTTCAGACACACCGTTCAGACACAGATCTTGGGCGTCAGTAAAAGCTCGTCCAAAAAGGCTTAGCGAGAAGTAGGGGACGCTTGTTAAGGGCCTCCGTCGTATCTAGCCGATCTTAGCATTTGCGCAAACTTAATCTTCTATCAGCATAAAATTTGAGTGGGAGATATATGATGACACGAGGAAGACATTAAAGTAACTTTGGTGCAGTAGTGAGGTCGAATTTATTGCGTTTCTTTAGAAGTTCATGCGTTAACGCTGGGCTCAACTTTGACATTCCTGTGAGGATGCGGCTTGCTTTTCGCCCAATGAAGTAACAAGAAGCGGAGGTTTAGCAAACAAAACACGTGTAAGGCTCAAGGGGACCAAATTTCAGTTGTAGTTCAATGGTACTAGACGGGATTATTGAAATTGAACAAAAAGGTGAGGTGACTAAGCCACGTCTTACTACGTTTGCATACGCACGCAGAATATCCGGTGTTTCGGGAACCAAGGAAAGTGCCCCGGTCTTCGTTTTGTATTGCTCGAGAACAATACATTCGTAAAAAGTCAGATAATCGAAAACGCAAGCAGCGCGTTCGGTCGCGGCGTGATAGCACGAGATGAAGCTGCTCAGTTGAAACCGAAACTGAGTGGCCAACTAGTTCCCAAAGTGCACTGCGTGGTATTTCGCCGCAATGGGGCGCGTCGGTTTTGGAAGAAGTCCATTCAACTTTCATTGTTGAAGCTGTCAAATGTTATTCCAGCTTGATTCCAGTCTAATTCGGGTCAAATTCAGCATCGATTTGACATCAGTTCTGGACTGATTCGGGCCTTATTCGGAGGAGGTTGTCCCACTTTCCTTAGCCTGCAACAGGGTAAAGTCTGATCCCATTTGGGCCCAGTTGACACCTTATTCAGGTTTTATATGGGACTCTTAGAAGATAGTGATATAGTACATTATGCAGTTGCGTATGTTGCATAATGATGCAGAACCGTTAACGGAGCACAAAAGGCAATACGCTGGTGGTGAAACGTGAAGTGAATGGATTGTGAGAGAGGCCCCTTAATGTGGCAGCAGCGCCTCTAGAGGGACAAGCTGCCCGACGCTCTCGCGACGACAGTGTCGCTGCCTCGGGGCCCGCAGGCGATGACGTACATGCTGTCTGGCAACATGGACCGTGGTTTCACGGAGTACCACCTGGAGGCTGCGAGCACAAAGGTGACGGCGTCCGAGTGCGCCTGGTACGTGACGGACGAGTCCATCCAGATCCACGGCGGCATGGGCTTCATGCGCGACACCGGGCTGGAGAGGGTCCAGCGCGACCTCCGCATCTTCCGCATCTTCGAGGGTGCCAACGACATCCTTCGGCTCTTTGTGGCGCTGCAAGGTCTGTCGCAAGTGCTGCGCCCTCATTGTTTGCCTGGGTGCACCGCTCTCTACTCACTTGTTTTGATGGTAACGGCGAATCTTACGTTGGCTCCAGGTGAATTTTGTACATAGGCCTTTCTCAGCTATGTATGTAAACAATATTACGATATTAAACAAGTCTGGCCTAGTGTACATTAGTTAAATGTGTTTCTGCAATATCAACAGCATTTGAATTTGTGTGTCTTCGTGTGATAATTTGTAATTTTATGCCAATGTTGCTTGTGGTGACCTGTGACTGTGCGGTGCAGTAATAACTAACTTTTACTAGATATTTCAACGAGTAGTTCGTTTTAGGCAGTGTCTAATATTTAATTGCAAGGAAATTGCAAACTGCAGTGTAGCATTAAAATTGTTTGTTGCAAAAGTCTCGCTTTTTTATATATATTTTTTCCACCTCTGCGCTTCTGTAACAGCCTCCCAAAAAACTAACAATATGTATTAAAAGAAATATTGCCTCATATGGACAAAGAAGCAACTTTAGCGAGAGTAGTGACACGTGATTTCCTAATGCCGAATCGCTTCAATTTAGAAAGGGTCACTGGCTACTACGAGGAACTATATTTGTGGGGAGGTGAAGTTGAACAGTTAGTTATCTGCATGACAGGAGATAAAGTATTGCTACTTACATAACTACTTTCAAGGTGTTACATCTAATGTTTCAAAATTTTAAAGGATGAGCCTACTTGAGTAAAAGTTACAAAATGAAAGACGTTTACAATTCCGTGTAATGCTGAATTGGAGTGCAGCTCTTGAGGAGGAGGGGGGTGGGTATGCCCCTCCTCCCCCTCCGTACACTCCCCTCCCATTTAGCAGAAAATTTTCGCTAAATTTCCTACTAAATTTAGCAAAAAAATTTCACCGTTAAATTTAGTTGTAGCATTTTCCCGTTAAATTAAGCGGGGAAATTTTCCCGCTAAATTTAGGGGAAAAGATTTTACTTTTAATTGACATATAGCTGAATTAGTCAAAGAAGCTTTCTTAGACATTTTAACCCTGGAGATGTGGGGCAAGGAGGACCAACACGACGCAGATCTCCAAATGTTTGGACGTCTGTGTCGTGTTCATCCTTCTTGTCCCCACTCTCCAGGGTTGAAATCAAACCTGCAGCCTTGCTTTAACTTCAAGCTTTCTTGTCAGTTTTGTGTCCATTCAGCGTGTTTTAGCAGTAAAAAGAACAAAGTCATGCACAATACCCAGGTTAAAAGTTCTTCCCGCAAAACCTTTAGCAGAGTGACGGCGGGAGAGAAGGCAAGTGGACTCACCTCCAGCATTTGGTCACTAACGTGGAAAGAGTGAAAAGACTCCTAAAAGGAGCTTGTCCTGCTTTTCTTCACCTGCAACAGAATATAGACTGAACAAGCCCATGCCACATTTGAGTCAGAAACTTTGTCTCCCGTTCTTCTTGGGGGGAGGACTCGCCTACCGAGCAGTGCACCCAACTGGTACCCAGGGGCGGATTTAAGGCGGTTGGGATTTGGCTTGGGGTGCTCCGCAATCAGATGTTACGTCACAAATTTAATATCACGGATGGATCCGATGTTGCAGACGAAGGCAATTGCCATTTCACCAAAGACTAGGCTCTTTTCTTTGTTTTTTTTTTGTAATAAAATCATTTTTTCCATAAAAACAATTTATCCTTAGGGGCTGAAAGGTGCAGTATTGCCCCTTTCCCCCCCCCTAAAGGACCACCACTGCTGGTGCCCAATCTCAATCTCAAAAGAGGCGAAAGATAGCATGGCGGCGAATGAAGAGGGCGCATACGAGGTTCCGAACCTCCAGGTGTCTCTCTAGAATCCCAAGTGCAACAGCACGGACGTCTGGCCAACCTCTTCTGCAGGGCTGCAGTATGCGGGCAGCCACCTGAAGGAGCTGCAGCGGGCCATGAGGAACCCCACGGCCAACCTGGGCCTCATCCTGGACGAAGGCTCCAAGAGGGTGTGGCGCGCCGTTGGGCTCAGCACGGGGCCCCCGCTCAACGAATACGTGCACCCGCGTCTCACGGCCTCCGCCACGCTCGTGAGTTGCACACAACTGCCGTCTGCCTCTTAAACTCACACCCCAAAGGTCGTAATTTTGGTTGTTGTCTAGAACGGTGCAAGCTGTAGTCATAGACGCGCACAAAAAAACAAATCCACATGTGTGCACAAAATTTTATTGTTGGCGCTTTTCTCTCCCTCTTCTCACATAACTGGGTTTGATGTCCGTATCGTAGTTTCGGTTGTGACTCTGCCAGGGCAGCCTTTCACGCAGAAACGGCGCGACGTAGCCGCTCACATCGCTCACTAAAGTCCAGCGCGCGTCCTCTTCGACATTACATCGTTTTCAAGAATTTGAGATCGCAGAAAGAGCCATAAAGAAATCCAAACTTGAAAGTGGAGCGTCGTCTGCTCGCAGCTATGGGCGGCACGTACGGAGGAGAGCAGTTGATTGTGGGACACGGGTCGGAACGGGACGGTTCCGAGACGCGAGAGAAACTCGAGTTGCAAGATGCTCAATTTTTGGCATCACTGCTGTGGCGCAGATCGTGCGGGAACTTCGAATGTGGCTGTGGAAAGTGGGTTTTTGCTTCACAAATACTGAGTTCCGAAGTTTTGAATTTTGAGGGTAATGTACAGGCATCATTTTCAAGCGTTTTGGATAATAATTGAAAAAAAAAAAAAATGGTTTTGACTTGTCAGTGCCCTTCGAAGGCCCGTTCACACCCTCAACTTTACTTTGGACCGAGCTCTTGCGATCTCTTACGACGAGAGGACATGCTAGCATGCTGGCGCCATCCATGAACTGACCCTGGAAATGTGTTTCACTAGAGCGAAGAATTTACGGTATTTGCGAGGTAAAAAATGTACATACTGTTTGTGAAACGTGGTTGTTTATAGCATCGTCAAAAGTTTTTCGAGCCAAGGAAAATATACTTTAAAAAATAGGAAATGTATGGAATGTGTTCCTTGTTAGATGGCGCCACTGTGTTCTTTCGTCGTAAGCAGTTGCAAGTTTACGCAAAATGTGTAGAGGGCGAGGGTTACATAAAACAAATGTCCCTAAAAAGTGTAACGAGCTCAATTTAGCTGACTTACGTCCCGCCAAATTTAGTAGGCAGCATTTCCCCGTGAAATTCTGCGGGAAAATTGAAGCGGTGTATTACATGCCTGTAGGTTGTACCACTCAATGTAGTGAGGAAACCCTTCCCACTGAACTTAGCAGAATTTGGCGTGACTCTCGAGCTCGGTAAAGCTTATAAATAAAAACCCATTGCCGCTCAATACACACTCTGTCTCCTGAATTTGCCCGTAAAATAGAATACATTTAATGTTTTTTTTTCTTTTTTCGTTTGAAGGCGTCCAGGAGCGTCGAGCAGTTTGGAGCGGCTGTGGAGCACCTCCTGATCCAATACGGGAAGAACATCATTGGTGAGTCGACGACCCTCGTGTGGAACGTGCCCCAAGTGTCGTCGTAGTCGCGAAGGGCCTCTGTTTCTCGTCGCGTCTTCATGGCCGCCCTTTCTCTCGATTCATTCTCGATGCTCTAGTAAATTGTCTGTAGCCGTAATTATGCAAGTAGTGCATTCTTTGTTCAATCAGCTTTCTCCTTGCATGCATTATTTCTTCGTAGCGAGTGTGAAGTACTAAAAACTGCCATGTTCTGACTGGCTCGTGGTAACTAATCTACCTACACACTGTCATGTTGCAGGTCTGTGTAGGGGTGTGCCATCTTGCAAAATGTTTGATGTTGCGTATCATACCCGAGAACACATAACAACGCTTTTCGGGCCAGGTGAATGAACTATGCGTCGCGGAAAGCTCGAACTCCTTGAGAATGTGACGCTAGCAATTGGAATAGAATGCGAAAGTTGGAGAACATGACGGTACCTGGATCAAAAGATAATTGGGGAAAACGAGAATTTCCTGTGACCGACGTTCGCCTAAGATCGTCAAGAAAAGAACTGACATTGTGGACGCATGTGAGATTGATATCAGTGAAAAACGCTTGTCAGCAAGAAAGAGAATATTGTTTTATTTCTTGCTGACACATATTTTTTCACCTAAACAAATGCTACAGGCGCCAACATGACGTCGTGTTCTCAAACTTCTGCACTCTACTCCAAATGCTGGCGTCGCATTCTTACGGAATCTGAGCTTTCTGCAATGCATAATTTATTTACTCGGGTCAAGAAACGCGGTTTTCACTTCTCGAGAACTCCCTGTACACAATTTGAATGTGATCTTTTTTTTCTATCTCGAAAATTCCACGTAAGATTGAGGGCTGTCAAATTTTAAACTAGCAACAAAAGAAGAAAAAAAGAAATTAAACTGAATAATTGTTTTCTTGATATGTAAAGCATGGTTTCGCTAAAATGTTTTTTTCATATTCTATTTTATGTACATTTATTTGTTTGAAAGTTCATCTTGCTTTCTCTACTAAGGGCATCGCTACTTGCAAGATGGTATACCAGAATAAACAAAACATTTCACTAATGATTGGTGATTTTGTTTGACCACTTCACAAACAGTTTAGAACTAGATGAGGACGATTATCGGCAAATCGGACTCAAGGGTGGGGTGTTGCCGGCACGTAAAGGTGGGCACAAAAACCCAAAGCATGAGAGAAAAAAAGACATTCCGACGAGAACGCCGTTTGTTGCTGCTGTGCTCACGGGATCGCTCCCTTCAGCCAATGGAAGTGAGGCACCACTCGGGAGGGAGCCCTGCTGTATATTTTTCTCTCAATCGTGACACTTCTGCATTTTGGCTTCGCGTCTTGCGTTTTTTGCGAGTTGCCCTTGTTAAAAACATATTCAATGTTAAAATATATATCTTATCTTGAAATTTGAATTTCGGGTACCTCTTCCACTTCGATTCCTAAAGCTTAATCTTTTCAGTATCAAACTTAGTTTTCCTCCCTTCGAGCCATTCTCTCGTTCTGTTCCCAGAATTGTTTTTCTCTGCCAATAATTCCTTTGACTCTCTGGTCAAGGAAAGATCACTCGAGTCGGAGCTAGGCGCTGTGTGGACCAATTGACTGACATTGACTTGCACTTCTTGATGAAGGAAGTAAAGAAACTCTCGTGAAGGAGAGTGTCTTTTACTGGAACAGGAGTTGAGCAAAGTGATCAGAAACGTGTTTTACTCGGATTTCTGCGGGGCTGAATGTTTCGAACGTGTTTCCAGGGAGCACGCCAGAGAAACACGGAACTTGGCACAAGCTTGGCAATCCTAGGGGCCTAACTTGGGCCTAATACGCTTTTGTCCCAAGGCATTAGCGAGTGCCAGAGATCTATGGCTTTTCTCTGTCTCACTACATAATGGCCAAACTGCCAGACACGAGCTTAAAGTGCCACCCATGAATCGAAGAACCAACAGCGAAGCCTACATCTGGCAGTTGTTTGTGAATTTAGGTCCAAAGTTGCCACGTGAAAACCGAACAATCGGAAGTAATCCTAACTCTGGCACTTGTTTGGCGAGGCAGAGATGCTAGATGACAGCCAAAGTACCAGCTGTGAAGCCTAACCTTTGCACTTGTTTGGCGAATTAGGGCCAAAAAGGTCAAGTTTTTGGCCCAAAGAACTGCGCTACCCGGGTTTTTTTCTTGCAGACGAGCAGTTCCTGCTGATCCGGCTGGCCAACAGCGCCATCGACACCTACATCATGATCGTGGTGCTGTCAAGGGCCACCCGTGCACTCCAGAATCGCTACCCCAGTGCGGAGCACGAAGCACTCCTGGTAGACGTCATCTGCAATGAGGTGATTTGGCACGATGGCTTTTAGGTGGCGAGGTTGAGAAACACTCAGGGTTGCAATAAATACGAAGGAGGAGCCTATATTCTCACGCGCTTAAATGTTGGCTTATGACAGACCGTGATAATGTGACAATCATATTCGGCGTGACAGAATAGAAGAGAACGAGCTTATTAGGAAAGCCAAATAGCCTCCTCTGTGTAGCCGAAGATTGCAAAGTACGGGCCCAGATTTCCGTAATCGTTTTATTCAAATTTCAACTGAGGTGTCTGCATTCCGACAAATGCTTCATAGGCTGTTGACGCTGCATAACTGTCCTCTTTGCATGCATCTGGAGGCTTCCAAAGGGCTTGCTGCTGATTTATGTCCAATCTCCATTAGTCAGACAGCTTTGTTTAGTTCACATGACTCTTTATATATCTTAGTTATTGTATGTGACCTAAATGATGACACTTTTTCTAATTGGGTGAATAATGTACCTAACTGTTACAATATTGTCTAGATGTTTGCTTCCTGCTCTAAATTTTGAAGGTCCAGTGAACGAAAGCTTGCATTCCTGACGTATCGGAGACTTGTCTTGAACTTACGGCTTCTGCGTCCGACCGGCTGACTCTGCATACCCAAGCGTCATTTCGTTCGTTTTCAGGCTTCGGAACGGGTCCAGATGAACCTGGGGGCGCTGCGATCGGGCGAGAAGCTCTCCAACTTCGCCAAAATGCGGACGGTTGCGAAGGAGATGTGCGAAGCGGGTGGCCCAGTTCAGCTGAACCCCCTCAACGTCTGACGACCTCCTTAACGAGGTGCAAACCGAACTCATAGAGACTCTGAACATTATGGTGTGTTGTAAGGCGAAAAGTGTGACTGCCTTGCCGGAAACTGCTGCACGGTGTGTGGCGGTGGTCGGGGCTCTTCTTATAAGAAATGGGCACATAGATAATTCAAACTTCAGCGGCTAGCAACAGTGAACGCATGGATGACACCATTTGGGAACACCGGCTTGAAGTGCCTCCTCGTTCGTTGATAATATCAGACTAGTAAGTTTGCTGGGTGTGTGCTTTTTTATCTTTGAAAGAAGACAGAGTCACTTATTGTAAGTACTATATGGTTAGGGAACGGGATTTTCTTCTGCTCGGATTTTAGACGGGCCATCTCTCAGGTTCAGCTGGCTCCGTAGTTCTTTTTTCTGTTATTTGTGGAACATTTAAAGGTAAGGACTTCTAGGCACCTGACTACATTCATGACAATGGTATAGTGGCGACTAAATGCCATGAACCTTATGTGGAATAGTAGGCGACAAAAGCGAGTTCGACACGCTCGCTCAATATTAAAGATAAGACTTCTGGCGGTGTTGTTAGGAGTGAATCCTAAATGTTAGTACAGTATTTTCCGCACTATAAGTCGCACTTCGGTATGTCAAGCATTTTCGCAGAAAAGTTGGTACTATAGAAGCCGCGCCTCTTTGCACGGTTCCCACGATGAGCTTTTCATTTTACGCGCATCGATATCTCGAAATGGGAGTTTTGCACAATCAGCTAGTTCACACATACTGTTTGATGTGCAATAACCTTGACGTTTTGAGTCGCGAAAAATGCCCGTAGCACGGGCTGTCTAGCGAGGGCAATTGAGTGTTTTGGAGCAAAAGGACCTAAACGTGCAAAATGAGAAGGTAGTCGGCTTTATTCGAGTGTACACATGCCGAGAGAATGGAAGTTTAATGTGCCAGACACTCGTGAATCAAGCTTTGAACCACTATGCCTATCCTAGGCCGAGTCGCAGAGACGACGTGAGCATCAACGTGCAGGCAAATAGATAAATATTGACACGCTTCTTTCGGTACCGCCAAAAAGGTCGGTTAGCCGCAATCCTTTTTACATGTAGCAACATGGCTGGAGCAGGGCAGATAAAAACTGCTCATCAAGCGGAAACAAAGAAAGACGCGGAAAAATTTTCTGTAATGCGTGCATACCAGCCAACTTACCTTTCAGTGTTACTGGACTGAAGCAAAATAATATGAAACCGTAGCTGAATTAGGCGACGTCCATCACAGGAGCTTTATTCTTACCGTCTTGCCTACCCACATTGAGCCGCTTCGGGGAAACTGTAAAGTTTCTCGTTTTCCGAGTCACTTATGAAAAGTGTAGAAGAGTGTGGCGACAACAGCGCTTCTGGATGGGGCAGCACCACCTACGGCTACGTAGTTACGAGGCTCCGTAAAAGTTGTCGCATGGCGCATAAAAAAAATTATGTATCAATGTGGATTAAAACAAAAACGCATACAAGTGGCATCGTTGTACAATACACACCAAGAAAAATATTTGTAAAAAAACGCGACTTATACTCTGGAAAATATGGTATATGAGTATTTTGTTGTTTCTCAGTTTAAATATAAGTTTTCCTGAGGTGAACTAGTATTACGCCTTGAATTAGCTGTTTTTGGGGGGGTTTCCAAGCAGTGAAGTTGCTTAAAAAGGTGCCAGGGTGTCTCGATAGGGGCGTACAGTAACTATCCAGAAACACAGCGTGGTCTAAATACTGCGGATACATTTTCGCTTTATGGTGCTTCATTATGCAGCGCGTGTTTAGTACTTAACGAGCATTTCTGCAGATAAAAGCTCTATGCTTCAGAGAAGAAAACAAAGTAAAACTCTATGGCCAGCAGGCTGCAGATATCCGTTTACTTCAATCACAGGTTGGGTCTTAGGTTTGGAAACCTGTCTTTCTTCACCAGTCCAACTCCGATTTCCTGTGACATCGCTAGGCAAATAATGAAACTGGTTAGTATTTAATGACTCTGCGATTGAAGATTACTTCTTTGCATGTGCTGTGTTATACAATTGCAGAGTTGGTCACTCGGTGCATACGACGGCCATAGTTGTATCAGCTAATATTTTGGGGATGCTGCTAATTTTATCGGGATAACTATTTTGGAATATGAAATACACAACAGGAAAAGAAAAAGCTTTTGTAAAAAAAATGGGTGTAGTTATCGATACTTTTTTCGCGAGGGTTTGTCATTTTTTTACAATCAGGAACTAAAATTTGGCATTTAATAATTATGTTGCAGTAATGGAAAGGTAACGTCGGTAAAAATGTCTCTGGAGTGTGCACTCCATGAACGATGGGGCGACTCGAGGATTGGAATGATTACCGCCATCGAGGGGTTTCTGGAATAGGATGTGTAGGGGGGTGCCTTTGTGGATGATATGCGCAGGGTTAACCTCTCCTACATTTACATATTCCAGTAAAAAGCAGGGGTCTTACGGAAACACAGTCTTTCCACTACCACATATTTATTAGGTGCTGACCGAGCCACGAAATACATTGTGTGCGCAAGAAGTTGGAGGAAGGACTTGCAAAAAAATTTTGGAATGTGTTCTGGCACATGAACCCTTTCCCCGGTTACATTAAAATGGTACGTTGATGCAAATTGCTTTCGACTTCGCCTTGTTTTTGATGGAACCGGAGATTTTTCGTAATTTAGTTTAATTTATTTGTAGTCACATCTCTGAAAGTGATAGCAGGCTAGAGCATATTTATCAAATTGTCCCTTATTATTCGTGCCAGCGTGAATAAATAAATTAAAGTACCTCTCGGTGCATCGGGGCTTGTGAGCTTGACGGAAATAATGCGGCAAAGTGGCATTATTTCCAGCGGGCGAGATATGAAGTTGAATTTGCTTGAGGTGCGATTCCACGAGCTCCAATTCGACCGAAGCGTTTCATTTAATGCTCCACAGAAATGTTGCCACTGTCGACTTCAAAGGATCGTGCGGGGCGAGCGAAAGATTGGCGGCCCAATAAACCTTTTCGAGCAGTGTGCTGTGTCAGTGGGAGTAATTTCTCCTGTGTGAAGGCAGTAAGATCTGCCTTCACACGGTATGGAAAGCTCCGCGATTCGGCCACATATTGAGGGACCTTGCCAATGTGGCATTGATTAGCTGTACTTCGACAAATGGTAGCCTTTCTGTCCCAATAGGTTTATTTTATTTTTGAATGGATCTGCTGGTTTTACCGCGGATTTCGGTATCTATGACAACGTTCAGGACCATGTTGGACATATTAAAAAAGGAAAGTACTTGTATAGATTGACAACTCCTCTAATCTGCTGTTGCATTCTCTAAGAAATGGGCAAGACATATGTTTGTTCTTAATCCTAAATTAGTAAAAGCTAGCTTTTGCCCAATGTCCTTTGTGACAAATGCCTTTTTTTTTTCCTGCATTGACCAGCAATGCATTTCCCAAAGACTGGCGGTGACTCGATGCTTTGTCGTAGCCATAGCCTTTTGGAAGTTGCTGCACAGCACCGGCACAACAGCCAAAACCATGGAACGTATACAGGTATAAAAAGATGCGCGATGGCGATGAAGTGGAATCCATAAGACTGAAGCCTTTGTAGAGTTGCTACTTGGATGGATGCATGTTCCGCGTCCGCCATTGTCCAGCATGCCCAGTTCAAAGGGGTCCACTGCCGAGTCGACTTCGCCTCTTGCATGCATCAGCAGGTGCTCCTCTCGACGAACACACCGAAGTGGTTGATGGGCACATAGAGGGCGACGGAGCCCAGTACGGCTCCGAGCTGGGTGGCGGCCCCCACCCAGAAGAGGGCCGTCTCTCCCTGGGCCGCCATGAGCAGTGTCAGCACCGTGCGCACGTACGACAGCAGCAGGAAGGCGCACACCCAGCAGGACACCTGCGTCGGGCCATCAAAACTCTTCGGAGGCGCTTCCGTTCGCTCTCTCAAGGCTATTGGCGCGGGCACTTGGTGCTCGCTTAGCAGTTACTGTCAACTTCAGGGAGTTTTCAGTGACATCACCATGTCCACCATTTTGTTGTTATAAGCTGCCTGGTACGTGACAAAGGCAAGTATTTTAGGGATTCATCTGTCACTATAGAATTCGTACCTATCAACAAAGTGGCGGATTGGCGTCACAGGAAAACGCCCTATATTTATTTATTTATTTTTTATTTTATTTATTTGTGAATACTGTTCACTCCAAGTACAGAGCTTTAACAGGTATGGGGTATACACTCCGTGCGACTCGACTGTCGCGCCGCCGCGCGGCCGGTACCGAAGGTAGGCAGTGAGAACCCCAGAGAAAACGAAACCGAAACCACGCCGCGTACGTTGGTACGCGTTGAAGTCGGAGCGGTGTGGTTGCGCTGGGTTCACAGCATGAAGTGCTGCCTGTGCTGCGTCATCAAGAGCTTCAATAGTTATGCGTCGTATCTCCTGGGGACAAAGTTTCACAGTTTTTCAGCTTGACGATGTTTTGTGGGACAGCGACAACGATGGAGCCGTGCCGTACGACGCGAGAAATTTGGTCTCTCGATCATGTCTGCCACTGTGTCGGCACGACTGACATATTCTACACTGCCGCTTTGCGCTCTGCATTTGTTTTCGTACCAGTAACGCCTACATGTGTCAGCGCCGATGAGATGAACTGAAATGCCATCCCACACTCGCGGGTATGCAGTGCCAATTCCGTTGGAAAAATGCCCTCCAAAGAAGTTTCGTCCCCATCGTACGTGTCGATGATATTTCCGGACAAGTATGGCACGCAATCTGTACTTCATGAAGAAAGATTCAAACGGTAAAAAAGTGACAAATATAAATCTAAAGAAAACAACAATGAAACTCGAAATCACTGGTGAATCGACGTTTGAGTATGGAAGTTTATGTGATGTGCTTTCTTTCTTGATCAGCCTCCTTTTGGATGTGGAAACGCTGACATCCCGAGTTCTGTAGACAACAATTTTTTTTTTCTCGGCTTTAGAGCCAACTATCGCAAAGTGGTTCGAACTGGCAGTACCGTCCACTGGTCCCTTCCTACCTGTAAAGTGTGCACCTCCCACGATGAGTGATAATATCTGACAGTATTTGACGGTCAAAGCCAGTTCCTATTTAGTTACGCCGCCCAAACTAAATTTCCACCAGGTTTCGCTATGCCAACTCTTTTTGTTATAATAAGTGTTGTGCCAAGTTACGGTTATGTCAAAGTACCTGTGCGCCGAAAATCAGCACCTCGCACAACAGGTTATTACACAACAGTTGACCGCAAAAGCCCTTGGCGGCCAAACCGTCTGTTGGCCGACAACTTTGTTTTCTCGTCTTTGGAACCGCCTTTCGTAAAGTTGTTTCAATTGGGAGTACAGTCCACTAGTCCCTTACCGGTAAAGTCTCCACCTCCCACGACGAGTGGTATTCTGTTGACAGCCTTTTCATGGTTACCATTGAGTTACGCCACCCAAACCAAATTTCCAGCTGGTTTCCCTCTGCCACCTCTTTTTGGTATAAGTGCTGCACCATGTTACTGTCAAGTCCAAGCCCTTGTGTGCCCAAATCTGCACTTCGCAGAGCCCGGTTATAACACAACATTGTGGGTCCAATATTGGATATCCCGTACAGCTTTATTTCTTTATTCGTTAGAAACATAACTTTCACACCTGCTGTCTTAAGGAAACTTGGCACACTTCGTGCACAAACTTAGTGAACATCTCACTCGCCTCCAATATCATCGTTCCAACAGTCCTACGTTTACAGCGACGAGCGAAATAAATTTCCCAGTCAGAGCAATTATGAAGGCGCCGTCTTGTTAGTCAGAGAAATCGCTCAAACTCCTTTTTCGGCCGCAACTGGAGAAATTGCCCCTAATAACGACTCAAACTCAATATCTATGATATAGTGGAGAACAGCTAAATGCCCTTCTGCCTCAGCACTCATGCAACGTCACCCTCAACGTATCGGCTCAAAAAGCAAAAGTTTCGTCCGTGCGCGTTTCCGCCGCCACAGCTTCGCATGCGAAAAGGCGCCGCAGGCTGCTGAACGCGCCTCACTGTCGAACGCCAGCTCCTCCGCTAGCGGCGCTGCGCGCGTTTTTCAAAGCGCCCCCTATAGTTCCCGCACGGAGTGTATAGAAGAACACTCAAACATACACACGAGGACACAGCGCACCCGTAACAAACACTAGGACAACGTTCGCAGTCACACCAAAAGAAAGGGACACTTACACAGCGCTGACTTCAACTCTTTGTATATTCCCGCCTTTTCTCTTCTTTCTCGTCTAATGCATAACCTAGGCCTCATCTTTTTCTTTCTTTGCTAAAGGTTAACTGTAAAAGTTTTAAGCCAGAAATTGAAAATTAAAAATTAAATGAAAATTAAATGAAAAATTAAAATTGAAATTACTCTAGATCAATGATGCAAAGCTAAGTAATCCAGCTCTTTTTGTGACAGCGCTATAGATGGATTACTAATACACCTGCCGTTTTGCATGGCAATGTTCTCCGCTTCTATTATTTCCCTTGTGAGCTGGTCTCGGCTCCTTGCTAACACCACACACTTGTCAAGTTCCGCTGTGCACCCACAGTCCCGAATGTGTATGCCAACATGTCCAGAGTTCTTGTTGATGGTGGACAGGTTGTGTTCTCTAAGGCGGTGGTTTAAACACCTACCCGTCTGTCCGATATATGTTCTTCCACAGGACAGGGGGAAGGAGTAGACCACATTGTCAGTGCATCGAACGAACTTATTTCTGTGATTCGTTGTGCAGGACGTCGGTGTTCTTGAAGGAGTGTTTACCCTCTTGCAAAGGCTGTAGAGCTTGTTCGGAGCGGAGAAAATAACGTCCGTGCCTACTTTGTTTGCTATTTTCTTGAGGCCATGAGAAAAATGATGGAGATATGGCACAATCACTGGTCTTTTTGCCCTGTCCTGATGACTTTTCCTAAATCGCTCATCATGCTTAAATTCTCTGAAAAGTCCTTCCGCCACTGATGTTAACAAGGATGGTGGATATCCAGCGCTTTTTAATCTCGACACTTGCCCATCAAAGCTCCTTTGGATGGAATGGAAGCATGACTTCGTAAGAGAGTTCTTAGGCAGGCACAACCGCGCTATGCCTCTCTTTACTAGTTTTGAATGCGCTGAGTTGAATGGCAGAAGTGGCTTCTTTCCCCTTGGCTCGTAAGTCCAGCACGTATGGTACGGTGACGTACAAAGACGAAGATCTAAGAATCTCAAACTTCTTTCACTTGGAAGTTCGTGGGTAATCTCCAATGGGTTCATGCACCTTTTGAAACTGTTGAGAATGTCTGGTACCAAGGCTGTCAGATTTTGGTCATCGGTGGCGAGGACAATTAAATAATCGTCGACTTATCTGAATACTTTTTTAACTTTTGACCCGTCGAGAGTTTGGTTTAAATTCCTGTCAAGGTGTGCAAAATACAGGTCACTGAGGATAGGTGCAATGCACGACCCAATACACACCCCTCTCTTCTGTAGATACGTGTGTCCATCCCAGGTGGCGAAGGTAGATTTTAGATAGATGTCAATTAAGTTTAAGAATTTGCTTTGGGATAGGCCTGCCGCATTCTGAAAGGCGGTAATGCCATACGTGTCTATGCAGTCCTCGATACACCTTAGGATATGGGGTTGGGGCAAGGAATAATAGAGATCCTTAATATCGATGGAGAATGCTCTTAGATCTAGGTCGCTATTTTGATCGAAGAAGCTGATGACGTCATAAGAGCTATGAATCAAGTAAGGATCATCGATGACTAGCAGCTTCAGTCTTTCTTGCAAATATACACCTACCGATTTCTGCCAAGTTTCCCTTTCTGAAATTATTACTCTAAGAGGGCATTCCGGTTTATGAGTTTTGGCGCTGAAGAATAATTGAAGGCTCAAGTTTTTGCTGCGTTCAATTCTGGAGCAAAGTTGATTCAAATTCTGTGACTGACAAAACGTTTTTGCTACCCGTTTCACTTTTTCCAGGGAGATCTCATCGTGGCTGCTGAAGACAGATTCGACCGCTGTTAAAGCTTTTTCTCCGAACGTCTCCTTGTGCATGAGCACAAAACCGCCCTCTTTGTCAGCTGGCATAAGTGTCAGTGAGTGTTCTTTGAGGTATGCTTCTACTCTCTTGATAGGCAGAGGTGTAGCTGAAGGCTTGTAACGAACGAGCATGTCCACTCCCTCGGAGGTGCATCGATCTATCTCGGTCTCTGGAGCTCGTCGCGACACTTGCCTAATGATGGAGAGTAGCTCCGGTGCCGTCTTCTTGGGTTTTACTGCAAACTTGGGGCCCAAGCTTAGAACTTGCCTCACAGAACTTGGTATATCAATGTCCCCTAACGTGTGTACTGGGTTACTTGAAGCCTTTTCTTTCTTAGGTCGGGTGGTCCGGAGATGCCTTAACGTGAGTGTCCAAAGATGCTCAGTCATACATTCCGTTAAAGAGGCGTAAGTTTGCCATATTCTTCTGCTGGAAGAAAGAGTGGTATCCTCATGCAGTAGTGAGAACAGGCTATTTCGATAGTGCCGTGCTTGCCTATGCCACTCGGCCTGGAGTATTTTACAAATTCTCTTCCCGTGCCCTACGGATGGTAGGAAGCCTCCGAAGAGGGCCATGACCTCAGGGGGCAACATCTTTACTCGTATGCAGTACCCAAAGGATCTTGCTTGGCAGACACATATGGCGATTAAGGTGACAAGGCCTTCCAAGTGAAAGAAGTTTGAGATTCTTAGATCTTCGTCTTTGTACGTCACCGTACCATACGTGCTGGACTTACGAGCCAAGGGGAAAGAAGCCACTTCTGCCATTCAACTCAGCGCATTCAAAACTAGTAAAGAGAGGCATAGCGCAGTTGTGCCTTAAGAACTCTCTTACGAAGTCATGCTTCCATTGAGCT